TGTACTTTTTCACCCTCATCCCTAGAATCAGTCATTTTTTCAAGGAGCCTCGTTCCTTTTAGTGGAAAATGGAAAGCCAAAATCGTGACGAACCCAAGATCAAGGTGCTAGGTGTACGGATTAAAATTTCTGAAGGACCTCATTATGTCTGGTTCCTTGTTCCGCAGAAAGGACTCACAGACACACTGTTTCCCGAAAATCCTAAATACAACAGAAAATCCGCACATAATTTTGATGCTTTGGCAGTTGGGAGGCGCACTTCGCGACCTGACACACTTGGACATAAGCTCATGGTGGTGCTAATAAATCTGTAAACGGATTCTTTGTCAGTAAAGAATGAATAAATGGTGCTTACCTCTGTGTGGTCTTTAATTCAGTTCAGAATTATTTTAGTTTAGCTATTATTGGACTTGCCACTGGAAGAGTGAGTACAATTAAGCTTTTCGAATAAGTTGCAGTTTGCAAAACTGAATGCTGTAATTGCAACACTTTATTCTTGTTCATCGGAAAATATAGTTCTTCCATTTCCTTCTCTTTAGTCACTTGTCAGCTTTCAGCAGCTGGAAAAGATTAAGTATGCAAGTCTTTAATTCCTGTTTCTTTTTATAAATTGAGAACTTCCAATGGGAGTATAGTAGCAGTTGTATGTTTTTTTTCAAGGAGGGTTAAGCATGGAAGATAAAGGGCCCGTGTTATTGACCCTTTTCAACTTATTTAGCATCTAGCAGAGTGTGCTTCTCAGCAGTGCTTGCTGTGCTTTGAGAATGCTGATGTCTCTTCTGCAAGAGGTTGTGCTGTATATGCCTGTATTCTTGCTGGTATATGCTGTCCCTATTAATTAGATTTCTGCAGAGTTGAAGGGAAAAGGTTCTTTTGGAGTTGCACTGGAATTTTTTTCTTCTAACCATGAATGGGCAAGTAGAAAAACAAAAATTAGTGGGTTCCATTTTGACTATGTCTGTCATTCCAAATAAACAACTGCTAGACCTGGATCTAAAGCATTCGGAACACGGTGCTTTGTCTACAGGTCATCCCGGTGAACGGGGAGGCATTTTCCCAAATGGGCCTCAGAAAACAGTATTTCTGAAAGGTGTTACTGGTGTTTCCAGGCCCAGTCAGTTTGAAAATGGGGTGTGCTAGGGGCTTCTGCAGAATCCTAACACACACGAGTGTATTAAAGATTTTAAGATGCCCTGAGGCATAGATACACGTTTAATCCTTCTAGTCCAGCATTTCCTAAACTTACATGAGCAGGGAGCCTTTGTTGGCTGTGTCCTTGTTAACAAGAAAACACTGGTACAGGTTATGTGTTTTTATTCAAGAGATACTGAGCATGGGCTCAGCACAGACAGTGCAGAGAAGCAATGCACATAAGGCATGGCTCACACCCTTAAAGAACTTCCGTCAGTAAAGGCAAGAATAGGGGCATGTGATGCGTCCTGTGACTGAGGCGTCCTTTGGGTACAGTAAGTCCCTGACATATGAACAAGTCCTGTTCTGAGAGTGCGTTCGTAAGTCCAGTTTGTTCATAAGGCCAACAAAGCCTAGGTACCCAGCTAACACGGTTGGCTGTATAGTGCTATACTGTAGTAGGTTTATAATACTTTTCACACAAATAATACATAAAAAACAAACACAAAAAATAAAACATTTTTAATCTTACAGTACAGTACCTTGAAAAGTACAGTAGTACCAGCCACATCATTGCTGCTTTTACACTTGCTTCTGGATATCCTGGGCTTGAAATAAAGGGACTGTGCTACTGTACTCTATACAGTACTGCACAGTAAAGTACACAAAAGCACAACCACGTGGAGAGGATGCGCGCACGTGACAAGGTACGCCAGACACGTGAACTAACTTACATGACTGGACCTGGGAACGCATGTTCGGATCTTTGAAAGTTCGCAACTTGAAGGTTCGTATGTAACAGACTTAGAGTATTTGAGAACACAGAGAGGGGCCTCTGATCTCACAGACCCCAGTCTGCATCTGGAAGGATTGATTTTAAGTGTATGCATTTTTATTCGTTTATTCAAAACTCTTTTTGAGCACCTATGATGAGCCAGGCACGCCCTAGACCTTGGCGACTGAAACAGCAGGGCACAGACCGAGGAGAGACCTCCTCTCCTGGATCATATGTCCTAGTGGCAGGAGCCAGGCAGGAAACAGGATGAATAAGTACGGGTGTGTAACTTATTACGTGGTGGTAAGTGCTCGGGAGAAAAATACAGCCCGGCAGGGACGGGCTGCGTGTGTGTTTACACCTGTGAGTGTGGGCGGGAGGCGATGGCCATTTAGCTGTAGTGGCTGGAGGAGGCCTCCCTTAGAAGGTGACCTTGGGTCGAGACCTGGATGGCAGCAGTGGCTCAGGCAGGAGGGACAGGAGATGTGAGCCTGGGAAGGAGCGGGCGTGGCCGGCGCAGCTGAGCGTCAGCAGGGGCCGGTGTGGCCCGCGTGGGACGTGGGAGGGAGAGGGAAGCAGGGGATGGGCCAGCGAGGCAGATGAGCCGGACCACGTAGAACCTTCTGGGCCATAACTGGCCTTCAGCGTCTTCTGAGCGAGGTGACAGTGCACGGGTTCGAACCTGGAGGGACTAACAGGGTCTGTGAGCAAGTGGGGCGGGTTTCAGCAGCGCGTTCTTCTGGAGCCCAGAAAAGGGGCAGCGCTGAGGTGCACAGGGCCCCCCGTGTCCTGCTGAGAGCCTCAGGGGTGGCGTTAGGCTGCTGGGAGCCGTGCAGGATCGGCGCAGCAGCAGCGTGCTGCAGGGATTTGAGGGTGGAAGGTCAGTCTGGAGGCAGAAAAACAAAGCTGTTGATGTAATTCGGGCGAGAAACAAGGAGGGCCAGAGCCGAGGGGCTGGGGGCGTAAGGAGCTGAGGTTTGGTGTCAGTGGCCGTGGAGGGAGGGAGCTGTCACGGAGGACTCTGTTCTCGCTTGGGCTTCTTTTGGGGTGGCCGGTGCCTTTCCACGTGGGGGTGCACGTTTGAGTTAAGGTGAACATGAGTTCCTATGAGAACTTGTACTGGCTTTGAGATTCTTACAGGACATCCATGTGGAGATGTTTATGAGGTAATTAGATGCACAAGTCTCGCTCAGGAAAAAGTTGACAAGGCAGGAAACAAACATTAACTCTGGATGCCACATCTAGTTACAGTATTTAAAAACATATATAATTTGTGTGCAGACTTTTTATTGAACAGACCCCTCACCAGAGACGATGCACAGATGGCAGATAGGCACATGAAAAGATGCTCCACATCCTATGTCATCGGGGAAATGCAAATTAAGACGAGATATCACTACACACCAATTCGAATGGCAAAAATGCAAGACACTGACAACACCAAGTGCTGACAAGGGCGTGGAGCAGCAGGAACTCTTGTTCATTGCCAGTGGGAGTGCAGAATGGTGCAGCCACTTTGAAAGACTGTTTAACTGTTTCTTAAAGAGCTAAACATACTCGTACCGTAGAATCTAGTAGTCATGCTCCTTGGTATTTACCCAAGTGAGTCGAAAACTTAGATCCACACGGAAAGCTGCACCCAAATGCTTATTCATAATGACCAAACACTGGAAGTAGCCAGGATGTCCTTCAGTAGGTGAACGGATAAATAAGACTGTGTTACATTTAGAAAATGGGATGTTATCCAGTGACAACAAGAAATGAGTTGTCAGGCCATGAAGAGGCACGGAGGAACCTTAAGTGCATATCACTAGGTGATAGAAGCCAATCTGAAAAGGCTCCCTACTGTATGATTTCAGTCCTACGGCATTCTGGAAAAGGCGAAACTATGGAGACAGTAAAAGCAAGATCAGTGGTTGCCAGGATGGGGTGTGGGGTAAACAGCTGGAGCACAAAGGATTTTTAGGGCAGTGAAACTACTCTGTATGAAAGCTGTAATGGTGGATCCCCGTCATTATATATACATGTCAAAGTCCATAGAATGTCCTACACCAAGAGTGAACCCTAATGTAGACTGTGGACTTGGGGTGATAATGGCATGTCAGTGTGGGTTCATCAGTTACAACACATGTGCCATCTGGTGCAGGGTGCTGATAGCAGGGGAGGCTGTGTGTGTGGGGGGCAGGTGTTACATGGGAACTCTCTGCTTTCTGCCCAGTTTTTCAGTGAACCTAAAACTGTCTGAAAAATGAAATCTAGTTTTAAACAAAATAGTGGTATCTCTGTCTGGGGAGCGAGGGTGCAGGCATGCCTTGTACACTCAGTAGGCAGTTATTAAATGTTTGTTGAGAGAATAAAGGAACAGCGTTCGGGGTTTGTTGAGAGAATAAAGGAACAGCGTTCGGATTTGGAAATTCATCGTAAGAAGGTACTGATTCCTATCTTGCTTGTTAAACTTTCAGAAATGTTATTAATTACACTTTAAGAAAAATTGGGAAGTATGTCTAGCACTCACAAGCATGAAGAGGTGATCCGTGGAGAAAAATTTAACTCAGAATTCAACATGTCGATTTTTAGGGAGGGCCAGAGTCCGCACTGTATACCTAGATTTTGAAATATGAATTCGGAGAAGTTAATGCCATTGGAAAGTTGTCGGCACCATATAAGATGTCTAACATTTCCGATTGTGAATGAGGTAAAACCCTAAGTTTAGAAAACAACATGATTTACTGAATTACCTTGGGAAGTAAAAGGAAACCGTAGGTCCTGAGATGTTTATACATGAAGCATGCAAAATGAGAGAGTAGTTTTTTCTAAAGAAGTTTAATGGAAAACAACTTGTGGGATCGCTCATGTAACAGTCAAGTAAAAATTCTATACTATTTTGGGGCAGTTTAAAATTCTACAACTTTGGGTCAGTCTCAGATATGTGTGAATATGCCTGATAAAGTTTGAAAAATTCTGCAGGCCTTTGACTGTGATACTTTATTTTTGTGATCATTTGTGCAAAACCCCACGTGTTGAGATTGGAGTCTGGCTTGGGTGAGAATGTGGGTTCTGACCAGGTGGCCTTTCCCGTGCGTTCCTTCTCCAGGCAAACATGCTGAAGACATATTTGGTGAGTTGTTTAAGGAGGCCAGCAACTTCTACGTCCGAGCAAATTCTCTTCAAGACAGAATCGACCGCCTTGCTGTCAAGGTCACCCAGCTGGACTCAACAGTAGAGGAGGGTAGGTAACTGCCTGAGAGCTGCGAGCTGGAAATGATGTGGACGGGACGGGAGTGGTTAATCACAGGGTAATTCCTGCTTCATCCTTGGGGTCGTATGCTGTTATTTCATCTTGTCTTTTTCTAGAAGAACAGTGAGGGGGAAAACCCACAACAGTGGGGTTAATTAGTAATTAAAAGAGTCCTATCTTGTCTGCCCTTTGTGCCACACTCTCTTTTTTCTTTTTTGGTTGGTACGCGGGCCTCTCACTGCTGTGGCCTCTCCCGCTGCGGAGCACAGGCTCCGGACACGCAGGCTCAGCGGCCACGGCTCACGGGCCCAGCCGCTCCGCGGCATGTGGGATCCTCCCGGACCGGGGCGCAGACCCGTGTCCCCTGCATCGGCAGGCGGACTCTCAACCACTGTGCCACCAAGGAAGCCCCACACTCTCTTTTTAAATAAACTACACATGTAGTATTTGTTTTAAAGGACTCTTTGAATGCATTCAGTATTAGAAGTCCTCATGGACGTCATTGGTAGTAAAGATAATTCCTTACCTAAAAATCACAGACTCTGTCCAGCTAAGGGGGAGGGTGAGCTATCACCTGCTGCTCTCCTTAGGGCCGAGGCTTCTAAGTCATGCCGCTGATCCTGCTGGGTTAACTACCCAGAAATAGCGTTTACTGAAGGCCTCTAGGCTTCAGGGTTTTAAAACAAAGTTAGTATTGACAGGCGCTGTGTAGTTAGTTAATTGATGGTCATACCCTGAAATTGGGGTAGTTTCAACAAAATGAATATTCAACAATTCCTTTTAAAATTTTTCCACTTGCTGTCTCTTTTGAACAAAAGACTGAAATTAGACTGGAAAAAATCTGTCCCCCCAAATCAAGATGTGCCATTTTTTATTTACCTTGAAAAGTTATTTTTACCTTTATATAAGGGTACTTACAATTTCTCTTGTTGCATCAAAACAATCCTAGCATCTGACTTTTCTACTAGGCCTTTAATAGTAGTAGTAATAAGAAGGTTTTCTTTTTTTTAATACGGTTATTTATGGAATTCATCCCTCATCATTTAAGAAAAACATGTTTTCTCATGTTCAGATCTTTTTCAAAGATCAAAATTAAATTAGCAAACTAAAAATTTAACAGAAATGTAGAACATCGGTATTTTCATATCTGTTATGAGCATATTCTTACTGACTTTTCGAACAATAAGTAGCAAGCTGAAGCTGTGCTCTTTCTAATCTGATTTTTAAAATTTATCTCTTATTTTAAAAAATAAAAATTTGAGTAGCTGCTTGGTCTATTCAGATAAGAAATTTTAAACATTTTAAATCAATCTTTCACTTTTCAGATGGTATCACAAGTGATTTTTAAAAATATATTTTGTCTGCAGTTTTTTGCTGGTTCTTGCAATTGTAACGCTTGTGATGAACCTTACACTGGAGAACGTTAGTCTGTAGGTTAAATCTCATGAGATTCTACAGCATATCTCATATCCTTAACATTTCTTTCCAATCAAGATTTTACCTTATTACTTTCCTTGCCATGGATATAACTGTAGAAAAATCCCTCGGCCGAGTTAGGAAATCTGTGCTCTACTGGGGCCTGCCCCTGTTCTGCAGGGTGACCTTGGAAAGGTCATTTAACACCCCTGACCGTCAGCTTCATTGGTCCAGTGGGTTAGTGCAACAGTTTACCCACCTCAAAAAGTCTGTGTGGAGTGGAGGGCAGATGAGTTGATACCTGAGATGTAACATGTTGTACAAACTCAAGAAAGGAGGATAATTAGCCTGGTTCTCTCATCCCTTAGTGTAGATTTGTATCATGCTGCTTAATTTCTAGGACTACAGGTATGTTGAAAAGCTTTGCCCTCTCTCTTTAATGTTAGTGTCAGAAAAATTTAATGCACTCTTTACATTTGTGTGTTTTTTGCAGAAGTATTTCCCACGTGTATTGTAATTAAACTGGTATTAAATGTCTGAGTGATTTTCCCCCCTAAGATACCCAGGGTTATTGTGTTTACATTCCTATTATACTCATAACTCTATTCCTGTGTGGTTTCTGAGAAATGCTATTTAAGTAAAGAATGATGCTCTAATATTAGGTTCAATGAAATCATTATATCGCTACAGAAAAAGGAAGGGCGTGACTTACGGAGATAACTCTGTATCAGAGGGAGGGAATGCAGGAACCATTTAAGTATGGTTTTAAGTGAACAATAAAAGACATTATTTGGCTATTCTAGGAGATGTTTATGATTGTGAGTCAAATTATACTTGTTTCTAAAATATTTCCATGTAACCCGACTTGGACTTTTCTCTAAATAGTGTCACTACAGGATATCAACATGAAAAAAGCTTTCAAAAGTTCCACAGTCCAAGACCAGCAGGTGGTTTCAAAGAACAGCATTCCTAATCCTGTTGCTGACATTTACAACCAGAGTGATAAACCACCTCCTCTGAATATCCTTACACCATACAGGTATGGCTTTGTGTATCCCCAGAGCCTTTTCAGTGTAAATAAGTTGAGAGGCGAGCAGTGCGGTGAAAATATCTTTTCAGACTTTGAGAATGATAATTGCAGTGTTAGCCACAATGAAATTAGTTATTTACAGAATTGCTAAAGTCTGAGTATTTCAAAATATAAATAAGTTTACCAAGAGAAGTGGGAGCTCTCATGTTAGCTTCTTTTTTTTTTTTGCCATACGCAGGCCTCTCACTGTTGTGGCCTCTCCCGTTGCGGAGCACAGGCTCCAGACGCGCAGGCTCAGCGGCCATGGCTCACGGGCCCAGCCGCTCCGCGGCATGTGGGATCTTCCCGGACCGGGGCACGAACCCGCGTCCCCCGCATCGGCAGGCGGCCTCTCAACTACTGCGCCACCAGGGAAGCCCTCATGTTAGTTTTTAAATGCAGATATCTAAAGCAGAAGTGGACACATTACGTAATAACCCTGTGTGATTGTGTTCCTTGCGTTCAAAATCAAAGTGTAAAGGAACTGCATAATTCACTTCTAATGCAGCACAACACCTGTCTCAGCATTTCAGCCCTGCAGACATTTGTGATTAAATTCAGAGAAACATGTTCTATAGCATTAGAGGTTTCTAAGAGTGAATATATAGTCAAGAAATTAACCTTCTGGGTGAAGTGGGAGGACATATTATCAGGACCAAACTTCCAGGAAAAAGAATAGAAAATGTGCAAACAATGAATATTAAGAAACTAACTAAAAATGCTCTTTAGAACTCGTCTCCTCCCGCCTGCCACATCTGTGTGTTCTTTCCCGTTTCATGTAGTTCCCTGTCTTTTCACCCCACTGTCAAGCTCACTGCTCCAGCTTCTGATGAGCTCAGGCTGGTGGTGGGGTCCCCACAGCCCCCCAGGATCAGCTCTGCTGGGTAGTACCCCTGCAGAGGCCTTCCTGAAATCACTGCGTCCTTCACGTCCATTATTGCCCTCCTGGGCCCAGTGGCCCTTCTCAGGGAGTGCCCAGAGGTTTTTTGGGTCTGAATTAACTATCCTTTTGCAGGGTCCAAAAGGAGATGTTTGGAGCTGCCCTTTGTTGCAGCTCTGCTAGTAAAGCAGTAATTCAGACTGCATCCCTTTCTTTCAGCATGGACAGAAAGATTCTCCAAAAAAATGTAATAGAGATTCCATGGAAACCATGATGGGAGAGGACCAGGGTACCACATTTTTATATGAAACAAGCATACTTTTCTGGAGGTTTTAGCACACTCACTTAAAGATATAGATGAATAGTGGTATTGTAAGCCTAACGTTTTAACTTGTGACTTTGCTTTTGTTCAATAGACATTTTTCTGGGGCAATTTCAGTTTTACTTATTAGCCCAGAGCCATGAGAACTTAGTAAAATTTTCCTAAGAAACCTCACTAAATATTTTGTTCCAAAGGAAAAAAGAAACCCAGAAAACTCAATGAACCACTTGTATTTGATTATTCAAGATCATGATTAAATATTTGTGGTGATTTAAAATGTTTAATTGCATAAAAAATGAATCGACCTTTATATATTATATTATTGTGTGTTTACTCCGTTTTATGGAAAAGAAAAACGTCTGACTTTTTAATAGTATTTAAGAATAGTAGTGCCAGCTCAAATCTACTTTTTATTAATACAGAAATGTTTGGGGTAAGAAAACACATAAACTTTTGCATTTGGACTTAAATATGACACAGTCACAATGCAGTCTTAAATATGAGATGTACAATGTGACTGAAAAATCGAATGTTTAGTTGCGATAAACATAGGACATTTCTGCTTATATTCTGATGTCAAGGTTAACATTTGCTTAAGTGATTAAACATATTTATTCCATTAAGTATTAGCTCCATTTTTGAAAAAAAGAAGGTGTATTTTATACATCTTAAAATTGCAGCAAGTTCCTGCTCAGTTTTTCTGTCTTCACATATATTGAAGGCCTAGTATCTTAGGGAAATAATTTATATTTTTCACAATAATGTTACTAATAAAATCTCAATAGTGCAGGTTGCTTCTCACTTAGGAATTTTGGAAAAGAAAGGATTTTAAGTAATTAAAGTTTAAAGTACAGAGTGAATTGTGCTGATTTGTTAGTGACTTTAAGACAGAGCTACCAGATGACCCTCATGAAAGCCTGGGTCTCTTTATTTGATGCTGAGAAGCTTACAGAACACAGCATAGCCGGAACTTCAAGACCAGGTTTCCTTGAGTAATTCATGTCTCTTTCTTTGACTGCGTGGCCACAAACTCTTTTCTATACTCATTTCTCTGATTTTTTTTTCTTTCTCTGTATGCCTTAAGTGACTCATTGAAATGCTAATTTTTAAAAATAAATTTATTTTGGGCTGCATTGGGTCTTCGTTGTGGCGAGCAGGGGCTGCTCTTCGTTGTGGTGCGCGGGCTTCTCATTGCGGTGGCTTCTCTTGTTGCCGAGCACGGGCTCTAGGCACACGGGCTTCAGTAGTTGCAGCGCGCGGGCTCAGTAGTTGTGGCTCACGGGCTCTAGAGCACAGGCTCAGTAGTTGTGGCACATGGGCTCAGGTGCTCCACGGCGTGTGGGAGCCTCCCAGACCAGGGATCGAACCTGTGTCCCCTGCATTGGCAGGCGGATTCCCAAGCACTGCACCACCAGGGGAGTCCCTGACATGCTAATTTTAAATGTAAATGTTTTGCCTCCTCTTGAAGGTAATATACAGTCCAGATACTTTTTAAAGCATTAGTAGAATAAATAGAGTGTTCCCTTCTTAATCATGATTATTTTGAGCTTTGCTATCTATTGATTTATGTGATAACTTTGGATTCATATTGGCTGCATTTTTATTGGCTTTATGATAAATGAATAACTTATATAAAGACTTGGGACTTCCCTGGTGGCACAGTGGTTGACAATCCACCTGCCAGTGCAGGGGACACGGGTTCGAGCCCTGGCCCGGGAAGATCGCACATGCCATGGAGCAGCTGAGTCCGTGCGCCACAACTACTGAAGCCCGTGTGCCTAGAGCCGGCGCTCTGCAACAAAGAGAAGCCACCGCAGTGAGAAGCCCGTGCACAGCAACGAAGACCCAGTGCAGCCCAAAAGAAATAAATTAAATAAATTAAAAAAGAAAAGACTTGAAGTATTTTTTAGAATATAGTAACTGTAGCAGTTCTTGACAATGAAATGGCTACAAGTGAATTTCCTTTTCCGGTTACTTTCATTTAAAAAAATATCTAGGTCATCACTTTTTATCCTAGTTACATTTATACACCGTGAACCTTTTGCTTCTTTCCTAATTGAATTGTAGACATTGGGCAAACCTGATTAAGAAAAAAGCACAGAGTACTTGCTAATTTTTATCCTAATAGCATTGTCGCTCCAGAGTAGAAGTGATTGTATATATATACTAAGAATCCATCCATCTCTGTGTGTAGCCCCCATTGGAATAAACAAAACATACCTTGAAATAACTGTGGAACTAAATATTGCTGTTTATGAGCCATATTGTGATTTGGGGCAGCACTTTGCTATACCGAAATCTAAATTTGCAAGAGTAGTTTTTACTTCCTTATTCTAGAAAAAAAGTGCTGTCCTTGCATGTTCACACATTTTTCCAAATAAGGAAAATTGGGAGACCTAACAGTGTATAAGGACAGTTCAGATTCCTCACGTAGATGTTATCATCTCATGATTTAGAATTAACATTAATGTTTACCCCATATGAAACTATCTAACGACCTTTTCTCCCCCCCGACTTGTAATACATTGGTTTATAGAGATGATAAAAAGGACGGGCTGAAGTTCTATACTGATCCTTCCTATTTCTTTGACCTCTGGAAAGAAAAAATGCTACAGGACACAGAAGACAAAAGGAAAGAGAAAAGACGTCAAAAGGTAAATAATTCTAGTATGGGAAACGTGCACATCAATGTGTAAATGGGATTCTCCGTTAGAAATTAGAAGTTTAAAATCAGTAAATTCTTTAAACGGTTGAGATGCTGAATTTCGTGCTGAAGTTTTTTTAGAGGTTGCATTTGTCACATGAAGATACCATTCAGTCTAACACAGTAGTACTATTTTCAATAAATACTGTTGATTTGTTCTCTAATACTTGCCTTGCTTTAATAAATACAGTGGCTGAAATTTCAGTTCTGTTCGTAACTGTGGTTTACAACTTTTCTCTTGCTCTTCAAATTTTGTAAAGTAGTCAACATTCCATATCGGTTAGAATTTTCTGCTTTGGTCTTTTTAACATTATTAATTGTTGGGTTGCCACCTAATTGTAATTAAGACCGTGGTGAGAGGTTCATATTGGATTGAAAAGCGTGTGTGATCTGCACATTTGGAGGAGGGTAGTATTTACTAAAAGTGAGATTCCCTTTGGTGGGGTGGTCGTAGGCAGGAGAATTGCAAGTTGGAAGGTTGAGAGACATCTGTACTGCAAACGCTCTTGGGAGGACAAACCCACTCTCAGATTAAGCAACTTCTGTTTTGAAAATTATCCCTTTGGGGCCCAGAAATTAGACTTAAACCATTGAAAATCAGAGTTAACTCTCCAAAGGGAGATATTTGCCAAGCCTTTTATATGTGAGCGGTGTTTTAAAAAATGACCACCTGCTTTGTTTGACAAATATTAGGGTGTATGAATTAAGAGCTTAGCATGTTGTGGGCTGGCTGCCTGAAGGTTCTGAGACATCTAGTAGGTGTATTGGCCCAGTAGGAGTGACAGTTTGAGATGGAAGAGAACTTGAGATTTGAAAACAGGATTTAGGAAAGGGAACATGGAAATAGGTTGCAGACTGCAAGTGTGAGAGTTTACCACGAATTCTGGGAGAGAATTCCACAGACTTGGTTATCTGTGTGCACTTCTCGTGCTGATGGGTTGGGGAGATTTAATGGGAAATCTTCGAAGAGTTGCTGAGTATTCAAGTGGAGAAATTTTCAAGCAAAGAAGCTGCAAAGTGTTCAGGTGAAGAAAAGGAAGATACTAATCTCTCCAAAGGAAAAGGAACAGAGATTTAAAGGCCTGTTGGTCTGAATCCCCGAACTGTTTTATGGTAACAGGGCAAACCCCCAAGTACCTTTTTTTTTTTTTAAATTAATTTATTTATTTTATATTTATTTTTGCTGTGTTGGGTCTTCGTTTCTGTGCGAGGGCTCTCTCCAGTTGCAGCGAGCGGGGGCCGCTCTTCGTTGCTGTGCGTGGGCCTCTCACTATCGTGGCCTCTCTTGTTGCGGAGCACAGGCTCCAGATACACAGGCTCAGTAGTTGTGCCGCATGGGCCTAGTTGCTCCACGGCACGTGGGATCTTCCCAGACCAGGGCTCGAACCCGTGTCCCCTGCATTAGCAGGCGGATTCTCAACCACTGCGCCACCAGGGAAGCCCCCAAGTACTTTTAAGAGTACTGTCCTTTAAAACTCCCCTGCTTTTAAAGTGGCCTCCCAGGATTTCCTAGAAGCATCAGTGATACTTTTGACAAAAATATTTAACTTTTTTGCCACTGTTCTTTAGTCTTGATCTACTCTGTGTGGTTACTGTGTCTTCAAAATTATTTGTCATTTCCTTGGCAGTTTTGTCTCATTCCATATTCCTCAAAGACATAAAATTCTGATGAGAATTTCTTATTCATTCATTTATATAATGGTTCTTTTTTGAATGGCTTGTAAATGCTGTGATGAAAAAGAAAGGATTATCACCCTCATGGAGATGAAAATATAGTGGGGGAAACAAACATTAGATAATCAAGCTGTCCTTTGGAACTCATAAAGGGGGAAAGAAATTTGAAATTTTTAATACAAATCTGCTTTATATAGGAACAGAAAATGAGGCAAGATATCCTTAATTTCCCAGGATTTTAGAAACCCAAAAGTCACTTTCACTTTGGAACAGACAATTCTATCTGAAGGAAGAATTAATTTAGAAAATTTGGGGATAAGACATCCATTGTTTCTGAACATTAAATTTCCTTAGTTTGATGGTCTAAAAACATTTTTTAAAAGTTACGCAAATAATTATGTCGTCGTAAGGCTGTAGTTACAGGGCTGGGAAGGAGAAGCCTTGGGGGAGGTGGCAGCAGCAGGTGGGGTGACAGTGCAGAAGGTGAGGTGGTGAGTTGAGGAAGGCCCCTCGGTGTTGCTCACTGAGGTGCAAGGACTGATAGCAGAAGTTAGCTAAACAGAGTGAGTGTGTGCGCGACTGTGTGTGCATGTACGTGAGAGGGGATGCCAGAGGCGTGCTGGGCAGATGGAGGGGCTTTCAGGTATTGATAGGAGCAGCTAAGATCATCCTGGGGCAGGAAACAGCTTGCAGTACTCTCAGGATTTTAACGTAGGCAGTGTAGTTGAGATACAGATGCCTCATGGTTAGCATTTTATTATAGTTGGTTTGTGTGTGTGTGTGTGTGTGTGTGTGTGTCGGGTGCGTGTTGATGAGTAGATTGGAGGCTAAACCATTGTAAAGAAAGTGGCAGATCCCTGAATATGTCAGCATACATCCCTTAAAAGTAAGGGTGACAGTTATTAATTAGTGTAATACAGTGACACTTGAGTGAGATGTATATTGGAATCCATTGAGGTCTCCCTTCCTTTTTCTCTCTTTTGGTTTTAAAAGTGTTCAGACAATACATGCCAGTTGTAAAATGCCCCACCTACCCTGAAGTAAACACATTCGTTTAGAAAATTTGGGGGTGGGTTTCTCCCTTGCCCAGGCATAACCACCCTCTGGTAACAGATGTGCATACTTTTCGACCTTGTAGGGCGTATTCATAAATACATGTGTACACACTTCACAGAGTGTTTTTTATTCCTAGAATTGACCTGTATACACACACACACAGACATACACATACAGTGACGTAATAAAGATGTACCTCATTCTTTTTAATAGTTGTGTCATATTCCAAAGTTTGGATGCTTCATAAACTATTTACCCATTACCGAATTAATGAATATTTAGGTTGCTTCTAAATTGTTGCTGTTACGGCACCATAGGGGTACCTGTACTCATGTGCACATATTTCGTCAGAGTAAATTCCCAGAAGTGCAATGTGAACTTGAAAATTTGAAAGGTACCATCCTGTTGCTCCTGACCCTTTAAGGACTGAACCAGTTTATACTCCTCACAGGCCTCCTCCAGTCCTGAAGATTATTATTATTATTTAGCATTATCTTCATTTATTTAAAAATTACAAAAAAATTTTATACAGTTTTTAAAGGTTACTTTCCATTTACAGTTACTACAAAATATTGGCTCTATTCCCCATGTTATACATACATCCTTGAGCCTGCCCTACACCCACTAGTTTGCACCTCCCCCTCCCCCATCCCTACGTGCCCCCCACCCCTGGTGGCCACTAGCTTGTTCTCTGTATCTGTGAGTCTGCTGCTTTTTTGTTATATTCATTAGTTTGTTGTAGTTTTTAGATTCCACATATAAGTGTATCATACAGTACTTGTCTTTCTCTGTCTGACTTATTTCCCTGAGCATAATGCCCTCCAGGTCCATCCATGTTGCTGCAAATGGCATTGTTTCGTTCTTTTTTGTGACCGGGTAGTATTCCATTGCATATATGTACCACATCTTCTTTATCCATTCATCTGCTGATGAGCTATTATTATTTTTTGATGAGCTTCCCCACCCCCCAAAAAATCGAATACAAATTGCACATCTTTCTGTGTCTTTATTAACACTTGGCCTGTGTTCTGTGAATTTCACGTTCACGTCGTCTGCCAGCACATCACTTGAGCCTCCTGGGTACCTGGGCTAACGGCTCCCCTCCTCCCCCGTGGGCCTCCTTTCCTCCTGGACACCTGAGCAGCTTTCTGCCCGGCATCCCTGCCTCTCCCCGTGGACTCTGTCCCCAGCACAGGGGATCCTCTCACGTGCCAGCCCCTCCCCTCTCAGCCTTCATGGTTTCCCGTTGCTCTTGGGATAAAGAACAACATTTCTACGCAGCCTTCAAGGTCTTACCGACCGTTCGCCCGAATTCACACTCGCCTTCTGTCGCTTCTCCTGGCGAGATACTGTCCCATTGCCTCTTGTGTGCGTCTGCCCCCTCCTCTGCAGGACTCAGGCCTCCTCACCCTGCAGAGCTTGTCCCAACCTCTCGGACACCCTCCCTGACTTCCAGACTGGACAGCGTTCTCTGTGTAATACATTCGTGTTGTTGCACATTTCATAATTGCGCATTTACCTGGGTGACTTTGTGGGCTTCCCCCCTGGACCGCAAGCTCCACGAGGGCAGATCCTTGTCTTTTTTTTGTTTGCCGTTTGTACCGTCCGGGCCTGGCATGTGCTGGGACGTAGTGAGCACCATCGCTCACCTGGATGTGATCATTCAGTCCGCGTTTACTGAGCGTGGACCCTCCGTAGAGCCATGCGTGGAGGTGCCGTGAGGGGAGCGTAGGACTTAAAGGCGCATAGTTCACCTCCCTAAAGGTCAGCAGATCTCACGGGGGAAGCAGGAGGGGAGTAAACACACGTAGAAGTAACTGTCCCCACCTTTAAATAAGCAGCTGCATAGGACCCAAGTTATTTATTGAAGACATTTTTGCCGGCAAAGTAGGGCTGGAGCAGGAAT